TTTAAAACAACAGATTCCATTTACCACTCGTGACTCACTATATATGTCTAAGATATGGGTTGTTGACATGCATGATAACCCTTACGAATCCATCGTTCATCAGGTGACAGGCCGCGATTTTTTTAAGAAAAATGAACAAAAGTGAATTCTGTGCCCCAGAGGGCCACATTATCCGGTATGAATGAATTTTTTCCTACAGAATTGTTTTCGAGGATTTCTATCCCATTTGACTGCTCTTTCAAACCGGAATTCCAATACCAGTTTAATTGCCAAAATAGCATGACCAAGTTACTTCTTAAGTATTAAACTTGACAAGAGGATTACAAAACTTGAAATACGGCACTGAATATCACTGAGATCGGATTGTAACAAACGCTACATTTAACTTATTTCTCTGTAAATATTTGTAACGTTGGGATAAAATTAAAACTTGAGGATTTAAGTGTTCTTGGTCATTTTACCTCTTTTCGGTATGTCTCACAAGAGGAAGATTTCATTGCAAATTCTACGTATTGTGTTTCAGAGGTGAGCAAGCGCTCTGAGTAAGCGCTCACTTGAAGTTTACGAACCTGCGATCAAGTGTTCCTTTTTGCGGCGAACTTGTGATCGCACGTTGGAAGTTTACGGAATCTATCCGGTCCGTGAACTTGGGATTTTTCAGTCTTGCAATAAATCTCTAGTTTATTAAGCAAGCTTGCTGGGGACTGTTCTTCGTGAATATCGGACCTTGGTAGCGGTCTTTTTGTAGACCTCGACGCGCTCGGTCGGTTTATTGTCCAGAAATCAGGCCGACAATCTCCTGGTACGGCCCTTGCACTTGGTTAATAAACACGGATATATATTTTAAGAGTGTTGAGGTATTTTGGCGAGTTCATAGCGCAAGTCAAAACACTAATGAAGATTGACGAGTGAACACGTACAGCGATAATATACATCAAAATGATTAATGAAAGATTTATCATGCAACGCTTTTCTTTCCCGAAAACCAAACTTTGACTGTGTTTTACGTTGCGTTGCGTTGCTCGAACTCAGGAGAACCACGAGGACTTCAATTAATTTCGTGAAGTACAAATATAAGAAATACCAAACTTTTTCCGTGTTTCTAACTATTCGAGTTATAAAAAACACGAGTTGAAAGTCGGTAAAATCGAGTAATGCTGCGCGAACACGAACTGTAGGCGATTGTTTTTTATCTTTTTCTGCCAAATTCCCCTCCGAAGTTTGCTAAACTGATAGCTCTTGAAAAAATCATCTAACAAGGTATTATCTAACTCCAACTGGAAACCGGGAAAGGACCCATTTATTTCTGCTGTCAGAATGAACTCTGGGGGTTGGAGCTGTGGTAAAGTGGTTTGAACCAATCACAATGCGCGCAAAAAACTGCTGATTCTGGTCATGTGGTCGCAGTGGTGGTTCAAATTGTAGCCTCCCTTTCTTAACTCTCCTAAATGCTATACACAGCCGATATACTACTAACGGCGAGAGGGCAGCGGCAGGAAGACTCGTTCTGGTGGTTTAAGAGCATTTTCCAGATATTTCTGCTACAGTATTTAGGTTAAACTCAAGACCACTAGAAAATCACCGAGGTCTTTAACAGTAAAACTTTACGTCTTTTACAATAATGTATTTATGAGGAATTCTTGTATTAAGCTTGATATTAGACTTGCCACAAGTCGACCTCATGAATTTCAGGGTAGAATATGTCAGGCCGCGAAGCGGCCGTTTTAAGGTCGTGAAGCGGCCGAGCGAGCGAATAATAAACAAGACGAAGGACTTTTCAGAAAGTCTAGCTTGATATACCAGAGCTTGTGTGTGTCAGCTGTACAGCATCAGCAAGACCTGTTTCAAACGCCGTCAGTGCTATCGCTACGAACACGGCGTATAAAACGGGCTTTTAAAAGTTTTGGGAAGAAAATGGATGGTAGGTTGAAAGAGAAAGAGAGAAGCCAACGACACCAGTTATCAATAGAAAATAATTTATTTTTCAATAAACAATATTTTATATATACACATTAAATATAGTTTTGACTTTCCTCCAAAAAGCTTGGTATTTCAATGTACTAACTTTACAAACACCATCCTATGTACAAAAGCAGGTACAAAAATGTTTGCCATAAAAGGTCTAAAAAAGTCTTCGAAAAAAGGAATTGAAAAAAGATCATTGTAGATTGTGACAACAAAAGGTATTTTAAGATTACCCAATACAGCTACCCAGCTGCCAATAATTCGTTTCACAAGAGTATCAAGAAATCTCGGTTAAAAAACCTCGTACTGCAGGGCGGGCGCGTTGGAAGAGCAGTTCCAGGGATTTGCAGACCTTCCCTACCCTCTCCTCCCTAGCATACTTTCTCTTCGAACAACCATCTGTAACCTTGTTTAATTCTCAGCAACGAGTAACGCCCTCAGAAGGAGAATTGTTTACATTATAATGCTTCTAAGCTTTGACTCCTGCTACGACTGCTTAACATCGGCGGCGAATCTCAGAGCCATTTGCACATTTTTCAGTCCTCTGGAAGGACTGGACTTGAACGGCGAGTCTAACAATGCATGCCGGGATATTCTGGACTCTTTCTTGAGGATGCTTAGGGGACTGGGTTGCAGTCCTTCAGAGGCCGCAGCTGATTCTGGGAGTCTGGCTATTTTGACGATGTCAGTGTGCTCTAAAATGTGTTCCTGCCAAGTAAAAGAAGATGAATTCAAGATGTTACTTTGCTTCTTGCCAAGAGACTAAGATAATGGTCTCTTGTTCATGGTCGTTACTTTAATTCGGGTCTAATACCAATACGCAAGTAGCATTTAATATTCTGGAATTTCAAACCCCGTGTTTGGAGGGAAACAAATACCGTGGTAGTCATGGAAATTGGAAACGGGAGAACATTTGCTTATCCTTCAAGAAAGTAAAATACATGTACAGTTCAACTCCTATTAAACCGGCCACCCTCGGGGAAATAAATAGTGGCCACTTATAGGGGGCTGGCCGCTTAATAGAAGTCAAAACAATAGAAAATTGATAACCGGTCGCCTAAAAGAGGTGGCCGTTTTATAGGTGGCCGGTTATAGGGGTTCGACTGCATTAAAAAACAACAGGCCGAGTTACAACATGGGCCGTATATAAAAAAAAAAATTCAACGTACATGTAGCATTACCAATTATGTAAACTCATTTTCTTTCCCAATTCGCGTTTTCCAAAAAAAAAAAAGAAAAAAGAAAAACTTTACTTTCATTCCTATACTACCCAGTGAAACAGGCATTGCGGGATTTTCAGCACACGCAAGGACGTCAGTTCATATTTTCCAACAGAAACAGTTCACACCAACCTGAATCACTTTCAGCTTGGAATCAACGTCAAGTTTTTCTACAGGTGTCCCCCGGAGCCGCTGGCATTTTTCTGCGATGTTGTCGATTGCTAGTCTGATGCAGCCAAGCATTTCACTCTGTGACGAAACAAAAAGTAAAACATGCAAGCTACACAAGATGGGCTTGTATTACAGTACTTTAATATTTGTTAGGCTTCAGAAATAGATTTGTAAGTACAGTCAGAAAACATCCGAAATAAGTTTCTCTCTCGTCGTCTTTCCTTCCTTGAATTTCAGACCGTCCCTTCTCGCGAGCACGCGACCAGATGGAGAAGGCGGGAGAAGGCTGAAATTCAGGCCACGCCGTTTTGTTCCGGGGTTAGCCTGCGTAGCAGGCGTAGAACGGGGAAGAGGGAGGAGGGAGAGGGAGCAGAGATGGAAGGAGTGGGGACTGGTCTACCCTACTCTATCTCAATTTACCTCTGCAACACAGGCTATTCTGAGGACCTACAACGTGAAACTACTAACAAACAAGAAATCACTGACGTACTTTTATGACAACACTTAGCCAAGATTTCATTGGTTTGATCGATTAGTCTCACCTGCTGTCTGTAAATGCCTTTGCTATTGATTAAGAACTGGTCAATTTTCTCTTTCCATTGCACGGTCTCCTCCAGTTTTTCCTGAAGTGCTGCCAGTTCACTGTTCATCAACTGGAAAAAGAAAGTCAGTCATTGAAAAACAGTCACTCCACGGACCTGCAGAACGTAATCGGGTGACGTTTAATACTGAGGGGTACTCTTTCACTTGACCTCTAGTTAGATTTTGGTCTGAAAACAGGTACAATTTTATGGAATCACAGTGCCACCTTGTCAATTCCTCTAAACTGAAGGGCCACCAAAACTTACAATTGGCCTGTGTTAACGAAAGGGAGGAATTAAAGGCGGGGTTCTAATGTATTTTTGGACCTAATCTTAAGACGTAAAAGAGAGAATGGTCACAAAGTAAGGTCTTTATACGTTCCTCTAGCGTTATTTTGTCTGGGCGAGCGTAGTTCTGAAAAGAACTGTTGTTAGAGGCTGACTGTTTGACACCTTGAGCGGAAGTCATCGTCAGAGTCACAATCGATGGTCCAGTGTTATAAATCTGGTCCGTAGAAACGGATTGGTCAGTTTCGTCGTGATGGTATTGGCTCTGAGACTTACAGAAAGTTTCAATCGATCTATTTTTAGTCAATTCTTGAGTCGTTCTGTTTGAATGTCATTCGTCGGTTTTGTTATAAATGCTGCAAATAAGTTGTTTGTACTGTGCCGGTAACCCGAGTCGGGGGCGGGTACTCGCTTATATGGGCTATATAGGTAAAACGGACTGTACAATCACTCACCAGCAAGTTTTGAGTATGTTCTTGATTCAAGTCCTGTAGCCTCTGTTGCTCACTTTCAACCTGACAAGATTTCAACAAAACTAAAAGTTCAGTTCCTCTGAGTGGATGTTTGAAAGTTACACAAGATGCTGATATTGATGGCAAACGTTTTAATTTAATTCCTGACTAGTGATAAATGAAACAATACGATATTCACTTCGGCAGCAAGGTAAGGAATTTTAATAATTATTGAGAAGTCTTTCTAATTACAAGCTCTTAGAATACATGTAGCTGTTTGATCCTTCCTGAACCAAATGTTCTCAGCATGAGCTTGGGCTGTCTGTAGAGCACTCTGAAAGTTATGACATCAGCTACCACTGTGTATCCTTGCAGTAAACCACAGGCCTTCCAACCAGAGAGTTCCTTTAATTTTGCAATTGCAATTCACATCAAGGATGAAGTAGATTTCTTTAGNTCTAGCTAAGGTCAGCTAATTAATGAGCAATCCACTTTTAGCTACTTTTGTCCTCATTAGTTGTGGCAGAAATCGAGCCTACCCCTGACTGCATAAATAAACTTATCAAAAACGGTTGCCACCCACCTGATCTGATGTATCTCCTAACATCTGTACGAGTGATTGATTTGTTGCACTCAATGTTCTAAACCTCATCATGATTCCCATTAACATGGAGTCATTTGCTTCAAGATAGTCTAGTGGATGAAAATAGATTCAAACAGAGCCAGATTAATAACAATAATTGATGACAAAATCAAATCTAGTTTTAACTTACTGTTTTAGCTGATTAAATATATTGTTACACCCTGTAATATCTTGGGGTTCTTTCCATTATGCCAGACTGACTGGTCAGTGACCTGTGGGACTTATAACCAGGGAAAAATGGAACAACATTTCCCACCAACTTAGCCAACCAAGAGAAATGGCTCTTACCATTTTCTATCCCTTCTCCACTCTCCCATATACCTGCAAGTGAAAATCTACCGAAGAGAAGTAGGGTGACAAACTGACCAGTCCAACTAGTCTGACCCATCATTTAAAGTGGACCACCTCCAGAGGTGGTCTTTAATTCCTCTAGGTCAGACTGACCTGAAAGAGACCTTTCCATTTAAGTTATTACTGAAATTTTCTGATTTTTTGGCATAATGGAATTAGCATCCTTGATCATCATCATAACAAATGATGCCAGATAACAATATTAAATGTGATTTCATGTAGCAAAACTATCAAAAAATAAATCTGTGAATGTACCTTCTGGTAACTGATCAAGAACTTTCATCAGGAATTTTTCATAAACTGAATGTTTTGCCAGCTTTGCCTGCAGAGCCCCATTTCTAGTAATAAAATTACAAGCAAACAAGTCAGCATACACATAATAAAATTATTGTGCTTCACATATAAACTTCAAACATCCAGTTACATAGTCTAAGTAACATGAATGTATAGCAGCATTTTCACATGACGTCACAGCAGCCATATTGGCCAATGATTGATGTTCCAAAACCATGGAATTGTATCCTTGTTGGTGTATCAACGAAACCAATCCTGTGGGAGTCAAACTCTAATTTTCTTATGTAGAGTACACTTTCTTTTGCTCCAATAAATTGGCATGGTT